CGCCTGCGGGATCGCATTCCAAGTGCGGGCTGCGGCTCAGGCCTCGCCCTGTGGCCTCGGGCGCGGCTTGTGCCCTCGCTAGGTGATGCTTGTCTCCAAGGGCACGCGACAGGGTTCGGGAGGTAGGGGACACCCGGATCTCCTTTCTGGGAAGGTCTCGCCGCCACCCCCTCCCATCCCACACAGACCAAGATCGCGAGCTGCTTCGATGGCATCCTGGAGCAGGAGCAGAGCCGCTGGAAGGACGCCGAGGCGCCCGACGTGATACAGGGCCGCTACCACACGCCGCTGTCCGTGGACGTTCACATGGTGCGGCTGCGGCGCGCGAGGGGGGCTGAGGAGGGAACGTGTGTTTGGCCGCAGCCGGTGTTTGGTCTCCTTGGAGGTGGGGACACCCAAAGTTATAAAATTCGGTCCTAACCTTCCCTCCCCATTAGCGGGGAGCCTGAAGCTGCACGTGGGGCGGGACGGGGGACGCTGGTCGCATGGCCAGGCTGGGAGCGCCAGAGCGCAGCTTCCAGCTTGGCAGGTGGCCATGGTGTACCCGGGTAGTTGGGAGGGTTGACCCCCAGGTGGGGGCCACTGGAAGCTGAAGCTGAGACTGTGAGACAGAGCAGGGCGTGCTGAGCCACTAGGTGGGGGCTGGGGGCATTAGGTGCAAGGGTTCAGACTCTCGCTCAGCGCGTGGCATCACTCGCAGCTGGTGGCAGAGCACGTGAAGGCGGCCAGGGCCATCTCCGCGGAGCTGGAGGCCACCACCTTGAAGATATGCGCGCGCGAGCTTGGCCTCTTCGTGCCCAGGTGCGGGCGCATCCTCTGCCTGGGTGGGGTGGGTGGAGCGGCCGGATCACGGTGTGGACGGTGGTCGTCCCTGGGGGAGTCGGAGATCCCGGGACACGTCGGAGGGAGGAGCCTCATCATAAGGCTGGAGGTCTGCGTGGGGACTCGAGGAGGGAAGGGCCAGGGGGAGGTGGGTTATAGAGCGACGGGAAGGCTCCCCAAGGCTTCTGCGTACCCTGCTCCCAGGTTTGAAAAGGCTTTTCTGGAATCGGAAGCAGTGAACGAGCTGCACCTGGGCGCTAACATCAACGCCTGCGAGGAGCTCAGGTGGGTCTCTCCTGCTCCTCCTCGGGGCGCGGTGCCGGCGCGGCCAGCAGGGGGCGCGCGAGCTCCAGAAACCGGGACGCAGATGGCTCTCGGCTGCTGGCGCGCGCGCAAAGGAAACAAATTTGGACACAGGCGTTTGGGCGGACGTCCCAGGTGGCCTCCAGGAACGCACCCCCCAACGCCTGTCCCCGCTGTGGGGTCTTTCCTCGGCGGGACTGAATCCCTGGAAGGGGTGCAGGGTATTTCAAGGCTGAGCAGAGGCCGAGAAGTTACAACCACCCCGGTTTCCTGCCCAGTCCATCCCTGCCGCTCTGGACTCCATTGTTTTCCTCCTTTCATCCCAGCCAGACTTCTTTCCTTTTAAGACACCCCCTTTTTCGGGACGCCCTCCATTACATTCCACCTGAGATATACTGGGGACGCGGCCTGGATCCCTCTGTCCCCAAGAGACAGAGGCCCTGCCTGCAGGCTGGCAGTGGCTGCCCACCTTATGTGTCTTTAACCTCACACCAAATGTCAGGGGCCCCACCTCGCTGGGGTGCACCAGCTGCTGCAGGGCAGCCAGCGGCTACGGGCACAGACTCAGCCATCCTGGGTTCCGATCCCAGCTCTGCCACTCGCTGGCCGTGTGCCTTGAGATAAGTCACGTCCCTTTTCTGTGCCTCTTTTCCTTTTCTGTCAAGTGGAAATCAGAGCACCTGCCCCTAGGACTCAATGCCTTAGAACAGCGGTCCCCAACTTTTTTGGCACCAGGGACCAGTGCTCCTATGAGAATCTAATGTCCGATGATCTGAGGTGGAGCTGAGGGGGTGATGCTAGCGCTGGGGAGCGGCTGCAGATACAGGTGAAGCTTCGAGGGCTCTCGGGCCCCTCACCTGTTGTGAGGCCCGGTTCCTAATAGGCCACAGACCAGTACTAGGTCCACAGCCCAGGTGTTGGGGACCCCTGCCTTAGAAGACTCCGTTTATATTCGCTCTTTGTGAGTACTTGTGATATGCCAGGCACTGTGCTAGGGCTTTATCTGTCGGATGCATTTCATCCCAAGTGTGACATCCCAGAGTACAGATGGGAAAGTGGAGGTTCGGGGGGGGGAAGTGCCACTTGTCCACAGTCACATGGCCAGTATGTGCTGGACCTGGCACTTGAACCAGGCCTGTCTGAATCCAGAGCCTGACCACGAGGAGGCACTATTTCCCTAACATTCCCTTGTCCCTAATCTGCGCCAGGCCCATCAATTCAGCCCCCGGGAACATTCCCATCTTCCGGTAGGCAGCCTCTGGCCAGCCCCCGATGGAACGTTAGCCTGCCCTTTTCCGTCCCCGAACCAGGGACTGGGCATAGCTTAGTCCTCAGTTTCCTCAACAGTGAAATGGGGACATCGTCACCTTCAGGGAGGCAGTTATAAGGCTCAGAGGAGGGCCCTTTTGCCAGGCACGCTGTGCTGCACGGTCCAGGATGGATGGAGGTTTGGACCAGAGCTGTCACAGAGTGGCTCTGCCATGCACTGGGGCCACCACCAGCATCCCTCTGACCTACCCCTCGATGATGGGCCCCTGGGGGTTTGGTGCTGTCACCTCACTTGACTCTGCTACTGCCATGCAGTAGGGCCACCACCAGCATCCCTCTGAGCTACCCCTCGATGATGGGCCCCTCGATGATGGGGGTTTGGTGCTGTCACCTCACTTGACTCTGCTCCCAGGGTTACTACACCGCGTGGCTGCAGGGGCTGCCTTTCACACTATAGTCTAAGTGAATGAATGGAGTTGGTGCGGCACTAGCCCGCATGGCTGTATGCTGGGCTTTGTCCCCCAGCCTGCCCCACCTTGCCGCTCCCCAGGACCAGTCTTCTGGCCAGGTTCCCGGGAACTTTTGCGGAGCTGGAGAAGCCCCTGGCGGCGACCATCTGCACCTTCCAGAAGCAGCTGCTCCTGGCTTTGCAGCGCGATGTGCAGGTGCGTGGCATGGGCCCTTCTCTCCCCGCTTTACACACCCAGCAGGTGCTCCCCGGGCCCTGGAACCTGGGGGTCCGAGTCAGAGCTTTCATCTACCCCAGGGGCAGTTTCAGGCGTTGTGTCTTGGGGGTGGTCAGGAGATCCAGACAAGTTCTCAGCTGAGCAGGACAATTAGTCTCCACTTCTTGGAGACAGAAGGCCCAAGGACGCAGGGCCAAGGACTCAGCACCTCCCCAGGGCTCCTCCAAGCAAGGCCGGGCCAGAGGCTCCAACTCACACTGTGCCCCTTGGAGCTCAGGGCACATAATTTGTGGTAGGAGAGGAGATGTCACTAGGGTACCCTGTCGAGAAGTCAGATAGTCCCCTAGAGTTTCTTCCTATTGACAGATTGTCCCCAGGCCTGAAACACCCGTCAGGAGCCGCGTGCTGGGCTCTGAGGGAAGGGTCTGGTGGCTGGGGAGGACGCGGTTGGACAGTCCCCACTCCCACCCTCGCCCGCAGCCACTCTTCAGGGTCCTGTGCACCAAGGCCTGGCTGACTCAAGATGCACTGCTGCCCATCATGGAGAAGGTGTTGGCCTTCACCAGCCAGCTGGAGCTTGTGGTCCCAGCCCGGGCACAGGTAACTGAAAGGGGCCGGCGCCTGGTGGGGACATGCCCGGCCAGGCTGCTGGGCCTGACCCCGCCCCCGCCCCTGCCGTCCAGGAGATTCTGCAGGAGGTGCACCGCTACGTGGTCCGGGAGTACCTGGCCCAGGCGCTGAGGCCGCAGGAGCGGCTCCGGGGCGTGGAGCGCATGGCCTGCTCCCAGAAGATGGCCCTTGATGCCCAGGCCATTGACGGAACCTTCCAGCGCCTGGTACCTGCAGCCATGGGCCCTTCACTCACTGTTCTCACTTCTGCTTGGTCCCTGCAAGAGCCCAGAGCATAGCCCAGGGCTCTGGGGAAAGCGGAGGCCTCCACCCCGCACCGGCCGGAGAGGGGCGGGGCCTAGTGGGCGGTGCTTTGCGTAGCTGGCTTACATTTTGTGGGGTGCATGGGGAAAGAATGAGGGTCGCAGCCGCATCTTCTGGACTGGACGGGCTCAGTGGAGCCGAGGTACCCTCTCCCTGCACAAACACCCCTCATCCGGCCTGCTGGTCCCCCACTTGAGTGACTCCAGGCAGGACCTCCCCGCTGGGGCCTCGCTTTACCCATATGAGCAGAGAGTGAAGACACTGTGCTGCACTTGGAGAGATGCCAAACGTGCTGTGGCGAGTCTGCGTGCCAAGCCCCATGTCCCCTTCCGTGGGGCTGCAGTGGGGGCCGCAGGAGAAGGGCCAACAGCACACTAATGGACGGGTTGCGGGCAGGCTGCAGAGGTGGCAAAGGGACTCCTGGGGAGATGGCCAGCCCTGCATTTGTCCCCCTGCCTCTGCAGGGCTCTGGGGCCACGTGGTTGGGCCCAGCGATCCCGTGTGTGGCGGACATACTGGGTGAGACCTACAAAGAGGACATCCAGAGGCATTTGGAGACGCTCATCCGGAGCTACCCCGACATCAGGTCTGCGCCCCACCTGCCCCCACCCCGGGCTCTGCTGGAGGGCCAGGGGGCCGTGGGGCCTGGGATCTGTGCCTCCAGCAGGGTCCTGGGGGCTGTAGGTGGGCGGGTGAGGAGCCCCAGGAGCCCATTGGGGGTGGGGAAGCCAGGGAACCGGGCTGCTCCCCCCTCGTAAGCTCTTCCCTGCAGTCCTCGTTTGGTCTCGTGGTGGGGTGGGGGAGCCCTGGAGTCTGAGCGGGCTTGGGGCCCCTCATCAGAAGTCCAATGGTGGAGACATGTCCCCGGGAGTTTGGGGGGAGGTGTGACCCCACCTCCGAGAGAAAGCCCTCTCTGGGAACTCCTGCCAAGAGGAAGGAGGCTTTGATCCCGGGTCGTCCTGGGGTTTGGGTGAGTCATCGAACTTGTGGAAATCCGGGTCTGAATTTCTCCACAGGCCTGGGAGATTCCAGGATAGGGGTGGGCGCAGAAAACCCGGTGTTCTCTCCCTCTCTGGCCCCGCGGCCAAGCCCGGGGAGATTTCCCAGGCCTGGCCCAGCTGTCTTTCTGCCTTTGACTCAGAGTGATTGTTCACCTTGCAACACAAAGCAACGCTCTGGGGCTCCCCTCCTGGCCCCTCTGTGTCCACCCCCCCTCTGCCGCCCCACCCTCCCAGGTTCCTGGGGGCGGTGCTTAGAGCCCTGAAGGGGTGCTTGGGCTGCGAAGCGGTGACTAGCTTCTAGCGACGCCCTTGGGTGCTGGCCTCCCGCCTCCACGCGGTGCCCTTCTGGCTGCAGCCACCAGCACGGGGCTCACACGAGCATCCGGAGGTCCCCTGACCCTGACCGCCCCCTGCAGGGCCACGTCGCCCCCTCCCTCAGGCCGTGTTTCTGAACTTCTGCACGGGGTCTCACCTGTCCAGCGGGCCCCTTCCCGTCTCCACCTGGCAGGCACCCTTCAAGTACCAGCCAGCCCCTCCGGCGGCTCTGCTCCTCATTCCCAGCCCCTCTCAGACCAGGCTCCAGGAATGTGGGTGCCCTCGCACGTCCATCCTGAGCCAGGGGTTCCCTCCGCCTGGGATGCGGGGTCCCTGGAGGTGCTGGGTCTTCAGCAAAGGCCCCGTGTCTCTGCAGACGGGACCACGTGCTGGCCATCCTGTCCCTGCGCCGCCTGGGCCACCGGCGGAACCAGCGCCTCCTGCAGCACGCCCAGGACCTGCTGAGGGCTGTGGCCAAGGCCGGGGACTCCGGGACCCATGGGCGCCGCGTGCTCTTCCAGGAGATCAAGGTGCCCCCATCCGTGGACATGCTCATGGCCTGCATCTAACTGCTCCCGGTCCAGAGGGGAGCCCACCCCAGGCAGGGGCTGCAGCAGGTGTAGGGTCAACCACGTTCCCGCAGGCCCCGAACCCGGAGCTGGGAGTCCAGGGAGGCATGCTCAGCCCCGCTCCCAACCCTGAAGCCCAGAGTCATGGTATTTTTGTCCTCTGCCAAGCACGCTGCTGGGCCAGGAGTGGCAGCCACAATAGAGGCATTTCAGGCATCTGTGGGGGCATGTGTGGGAGCCAGGGCCTCCCTCCAACACTGCATCAGAGAAGGCCTTCCCGCCTGAGTGTCCCACACCACTCCCAGTCTGAAAGCAAACAACAGAGTATTTATTTTTTAAATAAACATGAATTAAAATGGTGTACCCCCAAGTGGGGTGCAGGACCAAGCTGTCTGGGAGCAGGAGGCCTGGGTCCCCGGGTCCAAGGAGCCAGGCCGGAAGGCTCTGTCGCGCCTCCATGTAGTGAACGGCTCTCTTCTGCTTATTGTATCAGTGGGGAGACCACAGCTGTGGCTGCAGAGCAAACCGGGCTCAGACCCCGGCGCCCTGCACTGCTCGCCTCACGTGCCAAGCGATCCTCCCCCGGCAGAGGCGGGCACTGCTCTCTCCTGCTCCAAGCAGGCCTGGGCCCCTGGGAGCCCAGAAAAGGCCCAGCTTTGCCCTGCACCGTCTGGTGTCTGGGTTAGATGCGAGACGGACTTCTCAGCAGTGAGAGTTGTAGGGTTGCTGGGCTCCCGGCACTGTGGGGGGTGGGGGGGGCGGGAAGGAGGGCGGCGACCTGATAAGTGTCAGCTCTGGAGATGGAGCTGCAAAAAGCTCACTGCAGTGTGCACCTGCCCCCCACACCACACCACCCCCGTCCTTGTCTCATGAAAAGCTGGCACTGAAATCTGGCTCCTGCCAGCTGGTGGGGCTGACCGGAAAGCTCATTTGCATTGGCAGCTTTGGGCCGGCCGAGGAGGCCCGGCTTGAGATGAGGGGATGTACAGGGAGACACTGAAACAGGCGGGATCGGTGCCACCC